CAAACAACTCAGAAACTGATGTTTCGGGGTTGAAAAGTATTTCTTGGCATGCTGCATCATTGGGATCAAAGAAGGAAAACTCTGTTAAAAAAAAAAAAAAGGACATATTAGGAGTAACTCTAATTTTTACAAGCATCTAGTTTTGCAAACTCAGAGGTAAAGAATAGCAGATTCACTTCATCACTAACCACACTGGAAAATCAGAATGTTCAATTGATTTAGAAAATTTTCTTTCACATCTGGTCTATTTTTCCTTTAATGCTAAGGTCTTGCTTGTACTTCTGAAGAAGCTTTGAAACAGCATCCAATACAATGATACTGCAAGACTGATTTTAAGTTTAGGCAAGGACTAACAGAGATGTGCAGTGACTAGACTAACAAGGGTTGACTCTTGCTTCAAACTAGCCAAAAGCTACTGATTCTAAACTGTTCCAAAGCACAGACAAGTCCCTTGATCTCTCAGGGATCAAATGCATCCATGATTTCTCCATATGCTACAAAACATGTATTTTCCTTCTTCTCCCATCACAATTTACATAAAACATACAAAAATATAAACACATCCACAAATCAGGAAGGCATTCTATGTCCTCAATTATTTTCAGGTATTTCATTAATGTATCAAACCCAGCTGGTGGCAGCTGCAGGTAAGAAGCATCTTTAAAAATTAAACCACCAAAGATCAGAAAAAAGACATTTTTAAGATTTTAAGATTTCAAGTTGCTTCAGGCAACCCAAAGTATAGGTGTAAAAAAACACCTCATTATTTAATTGTGATAATTTTCTTCTAACATTTAAGTTCCCCATAAACCACAGTTATCTATTCCTGAAAGCTATGAAGTAAACAGACAACTAGCCAATGAGACTTATGATCCTAAACAATATGCATGATGCCTCTCTACAAGAAAGACTTCTAGCTCCAAACCAGAACTGAATAATGTAATAAAAATCAACTCTGACTGGTACAATCAGAATGCTAGAGTAAAAAACGGAGAATATACTAAGTATTACTAACAAGCATCATAAGTGCTTAACAGATGATCAGCTGTAGTATTTGAAAACCAAAGAAATGTTACAGAAAATTTGTTAGAACAAAAAGTTTCATGAAAGGATGACAATGATATCTAGCTACTTTAAAAGATTACTTTCTCCACCTGTTTTCCACACACATTGATTCCTGCACTCAACTGTATTAAGGAAAAATAAACGCACTTAATGTAACGACCAGGAATCTTTGTTGTTTAACCTTCGTTACCTAGATTCAGTAACATTACTGTTACACAGGTGACACTGACCTTCTGTAAAAGAAATTTTATTTATTCACTGAGTAGGCACAGACCAAGTAGGATAGACAGTGATACTGTAGTGTTATTAAAAGATATCACAACACAACAATATTTAAAGAATGATGAATGAAAAAAATTTCTGAGGCACCAGTAAAGCAGAAGGAAAAAATCATGGCAGTACTTACAGTAGAACAGGGCAGACAAGTTATGAGAACCGGCTACAGAAACATGTTTATGTACTATAACAAGTATCTTATGGGAATATTAAGATTTCCAACCAGTGCTACCTCATCAAATGGGTCTCAAGAGTGCTGAGTCTGTCAAAGACAGAACATTACATGTATTTACTTCTCCTGAATACAGCTGATTGCTGTAATCAATACACAGGAAAAACAGAAGTGGAGGCAGTAATTATTAAAGTATACAGATGTCACTAACATCTTCTGCAATATTCAAAGGCATAATAGTTGTAGCTTTCTGTGAAGATCCTTACCTGCTGTGACATTTTAATATATTATATAACCTGTTTAAAATATTATGATGGATACATGGAAAGACAATTCATCATTATTTCAAACACTGATCACTGATGTGATATATAATTTTCTAACACGCATTTCACAGTTCTTACCACCACAAACATCTGCACTTCCAACAGAACTATCACCCTATAGTCTACTGGTTACATACTGAAAGCACGAGAAAAAGCGTAACTTTAGAGATTTTAAAGGTGACGTCACTGCTTAACTACATCCAATTACTGCAATTTTACATCTTATCAAACTACCCAGTTCTACACTGACATGTGAAAAAAATACAAACATCTGCCACACAGAAGAAAAAGTAAGAAGGAAAAGATATTATAATTTAAAATCTATGCAGTAAGAAAAGAGAAAAAAAATGGGTCTTCCATCTTTCAGTTCCTTTAAAAATAATAGAGAATTCATTTAAACTTTTTCTGAATATAAAGAATAAATGCAGAGCTGACAGCTTATCTTAAAATTTATTATTCAAATTTCTTCTCTGCTGATTGCAAATTTTCTGTTAAAAGTACATACCACAATCTGAAGGCATTGGTGCTGCAGCAACAGAAAAAGTAACAGATGTTTCAGAGCTTGAGAATAAGAACCGATCTCTTTCAATGAGGGAATCTCCTTCTAAGGAAGGTTCTGGCAGATCCTCTATGGTCATCTTCTGGAAAGGCACTTTAAGAGGAAAAAAGATAATAAATCACCTCATTAGAAACACTTTAGATTAGTTCTACTGTAATAAAAGAAAATGTGCAATAAGACTAAAATCTTCCTTCCCTTTTTGCAAACACAAACTAAACTTGGGATGTTATTGATGGCAAACATGACACTTCTCCCCAGTTTTTCACTTAAGCGGTAATGAAAATAATAATGCTATAATTAGCAACCACATGGTGATAATGAACGCATTTGTGTGTTTTACAGCATTATGGAAACATGAAGCATCAAGTACTCTACATGCATATTCTTTTCCTTCACCGTGAGCAAGAATGTGCTACCAGCTACCACCTTCTCCTCTTTCAAAATTCTCAGCACTTTAATCTTGCCACAAAACGCTGCAGACAATTTGTCATTGAGGGATTCACTCCTGGGCTTACGATTCCGTATCAGCTCCTTTCCCAGTCTCTCCCCTCTAGTTTTTAAAATAACACCACAGTGCTGCAACCTTCACCGTGGTGTTGTTTTCAGTTAATTTTTCAGGCCTTACCACAGCCTAGAAGAAAGACCAAATGGTCATAGAGACATTACGGTGACTTTTCTAACAACGAGGTCAATTTGCATTCTAGCTACAGTTCACGTGCTACAATCAGAGGAGAGCTACCACTGATGAGACAAATTCCAAAATTAGGCAAATTCAGTAAGAAGTAACAAAAGACATTCTTCCTAATAGAAGCAGGCATTATTGCACTATTGGAAATTACATCTCACAGCTGAAAAACTGAAATGGTACATCCTGAATAATCATGGTTAAATACTCACAGTAAAAGCAGTGCTTCTACTAAATTCTACCTAAATTTTAGAGATTGCTATACAGTGCTCTTTACTCAGGAATTTTTTCAGCCAGTTTACTTGACAGAAAGAATTCACAGAGCTTCAATGGATGTTTGTTTTTGTTACGAATAATATACACGAGTAAACAGGAAAAATAAAAAGTAGTTTTTTACACTTATTTGGGGTTTTGTATCTTACACGCAACAGGCTATGTGACTAGATTTATTCTAATATTTTGCTAAATAAATTCATCACACTACTAGGGAACCTCACAAAATCTATATTCTAATATAAGAGGCATTTCAGCAGTGGATTACAGATGCTAATCTTGAAACAAATATATTAAAATCTCCTTTTCTTGCACACCATGCACAGTTCACCCTGCCCTCAACTTGGAAAAGAGGTCCACATGAAAAATGCTCATTTTTCTCCAGCTAGTTTATTTCCTCAGCCTCATGCAGCAAGCTGTACAAATGCATGTGCTGGTACAAAGGGAAGATAAAGAAGGCGGCAACTGGGATGGGTAGGATTATTTCTTCCCATGGCATTATCACATTGCATTGGTTTAGGCATTCTTAGATTCAACAAAGCAAAAAATATCACTAATAATTTAAATTATTATTTTCATCCAGTAAAGAAAAGTTAGAGTTTACATTTTTAATGGCTTTATTACTCAATATAAACATGACAGCAGCAACTTACTTGTATGAGGGACTAGAAAGTCTCTTAAACTGCAAGTCACTAATTACATTAAAGGGCAAACAGTGAAATAAATTTGCTACTCTCTGATATTTGTTCAGAGGCTATGACAAAACAGAACAAAGCTTTGTAAAACACATGAATCCAAAACAGGTTTTCACAGGTAGCACATCAGACACTCATGAAACACACAAAAGAACAAGTAATATGCATAGTATAAAAGAGGTGATAGCTGAACTTGTTAAGTCAGAAAAAGGAAGGAATGACAAGCTTTTTGCAGTGCTGCCAGTACAATACCTGGGAAATGAAAGAAAAACAACAAAAAGTCACCAGACCTGATTGAGGAGATGCTAACAGGTAGAGGCAGGATTTGTAAAGCATGATGCCACAAGTTGCTGAAACAGACACACCTGAAAATTAGTATAAAAAAAGTCTTGCACAGAGAAAAGCAGATAGAACAGAACGTGTGCATTTCAAACATCCAGAGGATCTTTTACTCTGAAAGGCCAGAGGGGAGAGCACTCTCACACAAAAGTGAAAAGAATTCAGCACATGAACTACCAAAGCAAAGCAGGCAGGGAAAACAACCCATGATATTGGGCAGGTGACATGAAGACTCAAGTGTTACAATGCCTGTGCTAACTCCACTCTTTAAAGAATGGCTTCACATGTTGACATTAGTGCCAACAGTCCCTGACCTAGGCATACACATCCTTACACTGTGGGATTTGAATTTGGATCTAGAAATGTATTACCACATCATGACACAGTACTGAACCATGCAATGTAAAGGCAACAGCATGTTCCACATCTACTACGTCCAGAGCCTGCTAGCTCAGGTACAGCTCAGAACATCACAACCAGTTAATGTCACACACCTGGAAAGGCAAACAGGAAGCCAAAGACTAAAAACTATTTCAAAGAAAGGGAAAAGACAAACTTGGCATTGTCCTTGCAATGACTTCTGTTCTAAGCAAAACCACAAAACACTGCTTGAGATATTAGCAATGTCCAAGACATACAGGTAGGAAGTCCTGGTGAAATTAAATGGAAAGTCTTGCAGGAGAACAATGATTTCCCTATGGGCATAACATGAGTTCAGACAGTCAGAAAGAAACAGATAAAGAAATCAAATATTTCAGACAGGAAAGAATTTTCCTTTTCACAGTATTGCCAAACTAGTGCTAAGCATAGTTTGACACAGAAGGGAGCTTACTAGTTGCCAGCCATATGCTCTTCTAATGGAATTAATTATGAAAATGAAAAATAGAATCAGAAAAAAAAATAAAAAATGGAGTAATCAGATGCACAAATACTTATGTTGACATGACTGAAGAACTACTACAGGTTTCCTGATACCCAGATTACAGAGATGTGTGTATGTCCGTGTACTAAACCCAAAAAGTTACATAATACAGGATCCAACTTTTTCACATACTGCAGATTTTGTAATTTGAAATTTGTGTTAAAACTCAAATATAAAATTTTCCTGCAAATGCTATAAAAATCTTGCAAATGCTACAGCACTTCAAGCGATGAAATACAATTGTGCTCGGGCTTTGACAGGTAAGCTTGTGATGCTGTTTTCGACAGCAACCATGTGTAATGAACCACTTAACCTGTACTCATATGTGCTCAAGAAGAAAAATTAAGCTCAGAGAGCAAGGCCCTCGCACACACGCTGCCGGCTCCGCAAGGCGGGCAGCAGGACGTTATGGGCTTGCAGGTCCGCTCAAAACGGTTTTTTTTAGCGGTGTGTGAGGCCTTCCTGCAACACGGCGCTTGGCTTTGGGAAGCTGGAAGCCGAAGGGAGTCCCGATTTCCGAGCTGCGCCGACTGGCCCTGCTCGTCCCAAGCTCCCCCCCAGCAGAGCCGGGTACAGCTCAGGGACGAGCACGGGAGGCGGGTCTCAGCGAACCCCGGGAGAGCCGGGGGGACTCCGGTCGCCACCCGGG